TGGCTATGATCCCATCAATGGTATATACAAATGCATTTAACAGTAACTGTAGCTATGCGAAAGCTGCCGTTTGCGAGAACTTTCTTTGTGACAGATATATATTACCGGGCTTTTTACCTAGCTCATGTTTTTTCAGTGCTCATAAGAACCCCACAGAGTAGGTTTTGAAACTTAGGTTCTCAAGAAGTAAGACCTGCCCAATAATTCACGCAAATAAACGCTGCAAAGAACCTGGAAACAGTCCCTTTCTGTTGGCCTCCAGAGCCCCAATTCTTTCTGACATGCTCTGTGGCCATTCTTACCAGTCACTGAAGGAGTCGTCATGAGGCCTCTCAACCAGACCAAAATCTGTCTCCTTCTCATGGAGAAAGATGTAGCACTTTCTAAGCTAAATATGCAAATTCCAATGTTCAGGATTTAAGAAAATTACTTGAAATAGTCACTGAATCTATTATTTAGAACTATAAAAATACTCTCTTGAAGAAGATGATACTGTATTTTGAAATTACTACTTTAATGCTTCCAGCAGTCTCCTTGTAGCCTTGAAAAGTTCATATATTATTTATTCCAGAATTAGCCAAGTATTGTAATAGAACAGCCCACAGCAACCCATGGCCGTGACCTTTGGCTCCTGCTCCCTGGACACACAGAGGCACATGGTGTATGGTGTGTCCCAGCACCAGCAATAGGGTGAGACCCTCTTGTGTGAGGGACCAATGAGTAGCTTAAAATCAGGGACAATCTGGTGATATAGAAATAGTATAACTTTAAGCTTTTGAAACATTTGAATCCTGCAGTGTCTATGTTTAAGGGCAAATCATTTTACATGCTTATTTGTAATTTACCTTTCTTTAACCTGATGAAGATACAAGATAAAATTAAAAGTATTGGCTTGAATTTCATATCGCTATTCCTAAGTACTTTCTCTGCACTTGTGTAGATGGTGACCATTGACTTTTTATCATTCCCTGGGGAGCAGGGAAGCTGTATGGCTCAGACTGCTGATAAAAGTCTGATCTCTAGACTGGGGGAGTTAAAGCCACGATAAAGGATGATAAGGAAGACGATGCCATCTTCAGGGTCCAGACCTGTTCTCCTCCAGTATTCAACACTGGAATCTAGCGCCATTATTCCTTAGGGCATGGATTGACTCCTTGGTGGTTATTAACTCAGGTAAAAACAAAAAATTAAAACATAAAAACATAGTTTTGCATCTCATGGGTATGTTTGGTCCCAAGTAAGTTGGAATATGAAAGAACCTTCAAACTCCTGGCCTCACTGAGATGTGAAGAAGGAAAATAAGCCCAAGTCAGAAAAGAACCCTGAGTCAGAAGACGAGTGCGGAAGGCCCACTGTGTCAGCTCAGGGTGGTTTTAACAGAGGGAGCCTTCTCTGACCGCTCGGCCTCAGGTCTCATCACAACATCAGTGTTCCTGTTTGTATGATCAGAGTATTGTCCTATGCCCTCTCTGCCCACTTGTCTAATTAGGCCCTTTCTAATGGCTAGTCACAGGTCACCAGACATGCTGTCCCCGAGAGATCCTGATGTGGAACCAAGGTTTCCACCAAGTCCTTAGCTGGCATTGTACCTGCAGTGGGGATTCGGTTCCGACAACTGCTGAGAGCCAAAAAGAGCTAAACCCACCTTTTAGAAATCCCCTGGGACCCTCATGTCACTACAGAATGGTGGGCGCAAGTCATTTGGGAGACTATATCAAAAGCCAGAGAGGGACACTAAACTACCCCCCCAGCCTTCTTAAGACTGCTTCAGTCTTGGCATCTCTAACAGGACATTTTTTGCTTCCTGACAAACTGAGGGATTGATGTTACTTACCATGTTGTGAACTGGCCAGTGCAAAGACTTGGGAATACAAGATATGTTTTCTAGCCTGTGAAACAACACTCCATGCCTTTGGAGAGTCATTGTAGCACTCATTCTTTCATATATGCATTCATCCTGTGATTTGTTTGTTAATTCATTCAACAGACATTGAACCAGGCAGCTTCATAAGGAATAAGAGAAAATATTGAGTCATGTCTTATTTAATACGTCCCCTCAAAATTGCAAATTGTTTCTAATCTGTAATTTACTATTGTTAAGTAAAACTTCTATTAAGTCTTTAAATTTTAAAATAAAGATGTCATGCCATAGAAATCAATGTTGAGGAACGAGCAGTTAGTCTGGCATTGACTTTTATGTAAATTCTCTGACATTTTGATATTTATGCAATTGCCAGGATACTTTTATTAAGGCATCGCTTACACTGTAGTAGGCTCACAGCAGGTCACTGCATCATGTCTCTTAATGTAAAGAACAGAAACTACTAGGTAACCTTATGTTAAAATTCATGGAGGAGGGCAAAGGGGGGGAAATTGGGGCAAGTATAATAGAACAACAATAAAATATTTTTAAAACAATTCTTGATCCACATAACTACCTATTACCGGTTAAGTTATGGTATCTGTGGTTTTGGTGTATAAGTGCATGGGTTGCATATCATTAGTGTATAAGTACATGAAAATAAACCATATAGCTTAGTTAAATTGCAGTACAATCATTCCCACTGAATGTAAAGTGATACCAATTAAACCTTCCTTTAGAACACCACAAATGAAGATTTAACTACTGGAGAAATTCTAGAATGTGAAATTCTTGTACACCACAGGTAAAATATCCCTGGATGTTTTCAGAGGCTTAATGACATTTGTAAAATTAAAAACATCTTTCTCCTTTATTGCTGGCATTAACTGTACCTTATCCAGGAAAGTCGATAATATACCAATTAACTTCTTAAAATATGAATATCAATGAATTTAACCTCTGCAATGTTGACAAAAAGCAAATTATTGTTTCTTGTGCTCATATCAATGTTTTGTGTTAGTGGGTGGGCTTTAGGATAGAATTGGGATAAGGAAAGACCTGATATTAATGTTAATACTAATTCTTAAATTATGAAGATTTGTTCATCAGAAACAGTTGATTGGCAACTTTGTGTCATTCTCCCTAATAAAAGAGTAGCAAGTAAAATGTTTAAGTATCACAAGAATGAAATTCATACATTCATCCCTCATACGTACTGAGCTGATTATTTATTGGCTGAGTGTAAGTTATTGAACTTCTGAGTCTTAATTTTCTCTTCAGGAAATCAGGGCAATAAAAGCTACACAAAGGATTATTGTAAGGAGTAAGTGAAGACATAGCCAAGGACTCAACGCAGTGCTTTATATGGATTCCACGTTAATAGACATGCTTCCTCTCTCTTCTCCCTCCCTATTTCACAACCTTTATGCTCCTTCCTCTGTGAATACTTGTACCAGGACTGATGGTTTAACTCTATAAGACACGAGGTCTAAAATATCTGACACAAGTGAGAATGTACTCAAACTTGTAACTTTGAGACAGAGTACTAATGTTTTTCAGGTAAGAGATATATACTGTAAACTGGATAATTTAGCAAGTGATGATTGAACCTTTAGAGCTGGTGATTTCTTTTCTAGCAGAACTTTAGATATTTCAGAGAATCAAATCTTTCCTTCCTATACCCCCAGTCTCTAACCTACACGTGCCTCTCTGTGACCTGGTCTCAATTCCAGATGTTCCAAGTAACTCTTCATTTCATCATTCCTTTGGACAGCACCTAAACAAATACATCAAAAGTTGTACAACATTTAGCAAGTGCAACTTGAAGATTTTCTTTCTGTTAGACAAATAGACGCCATCTGGAAAAAATAACCCCAGGCGCTTGGACACAGGAGCATGAAGCTTATTGGCTGAACACCCAATGAATACCTTACACTACTTTCTTTGGCTCCTACCCTCTGCCTGCTCATTTCAAATCTTGCACACTTCAGCAGGCGCTGTGCTGTGAGACAAACGAGTCCTTGTTACCCACGCACTCAGACCCTATGAAGACTCGCTTAATTTGAAAGACAGGCTTTGCAAAAATTACCTGCATCGAAATTGTTTCCTTTCATACTAGGATACTTGCTCTGTAAAGGACTGCTAAACAGCACTGTGCCTTGACGTTAATTGATAGCAATAGTTTATTATTCAGTTTCTCACATTATCCTGCAGCAAACATTTTCAGTGTTTGCCGTGTTCCATTTTTAAACAGGAGTTTCCGCCTGTAATCTTTCCTTCCTTCTTTGTTCCCCCCCTCCTCTTTTATCTAAAGCTACTTTCTAAGATAAAAAGTCCCACATATGTTGTTACTCATTTTACTGATTGACTTCTATTTCTAAATTCGTATTATAATAATCAGCATTAATTTTGCCTTTCACAATTGGCTGAGCTGAATGTAAATGCTTGCAATGTTATTTATCAAAATGAAACATTAATTTTTATAAATTAAATAAACTCAAATAGACATCAAGAAGACAGTTTTCCTTTTGATGATATAATTATTGTGATAAAAATAGTTTTTAGTGGCTTCTTGTTCACATATCAGACTTTCTGTGCAACCACCTTCTGCAACATGATGTAATTTACTATTTCTTTTAACTAATTACTTTCCTTTTGTCAGAGCGGTCATGTGGCTTTTCAAAACCCAAAGCCAATTGCTCCGGAACTTCTGGAATTCGTTTTATTACATCTCATGATCCGAACAGTAGGGAGTCCTATGAAACATGTTTGATCAAACATTAACTTTATAAATTGCCTTCCTTCCCCACAATTCCCATGAAAAAGGTATTCAGCTAGATTAAAACTCTGGAAATTTTTAATGGGACTTTTGAAATCTGTTTGAGTTCAGTTTCTTGGAAAAAAAATAAAACTGCCTAATGGAAGCACTCTTTGTATGAGAAGTGGATATGCCTTTGAGGCAATTTTCTTCCCTGCATAATAGTGAAAATTGCAGCGGGATAATCTGAGTGTTTGAAATGTCATTGCCAAATCCATAATGCTGCTTGCAGTAACACCTGGAGAGGACACGTGTGTTCATTCACGATGAGAAAGAAGAAGCAGACGTCAATGTGCATAATCTCACTGTGTGTCTTTGCAGGCCTACCCTGGTCCAAGCCTGGAAAGTGAAGACTTTAACATCCCACCTATCACTCCTCCTTCCCTCCCCGACCACTCGCTGGTGCACCTGAATGAAGTGGAGACTGGTTACCACTCCCTGTGTCACCCAATGAACCACAATGGCCTGCTACCATTTCATCCTCAGAACATGGACCTGCCTGAAATCACCGTGTCCAACATGCTGGGGCAGGACGGAGCACTGCTTACCAACTCCATTTCCGTGGTAAGAATCAGTTTACCAATATGTGGTGGGGAGCAAGAGACCAGTGGGGGCAAGGCTGGATTTAAAGCAAGAAGCTTTCAAATGTAATAATGCAGCCCTCTGAAGCTAGAAATAACATTAAAGCTATGGAAAACGTTCTCCACAAGTCCTGTAAAATCCTGAGGCACTCTTCCATTTTCTGTTTAAGTCTAAGCTGAATCAATTAATGACATGTTTAAGTACACATATTTATAAATCGAAGTACTAAATACCGTTTGACACTGACTGTTGCCTTACAAAGCCCAACTGTCTCACTAGTTTTCAGGTGAGAAGTTATCTTTAAAGGTGTTACCTCTCGTGTTATGCAGGGTTCCTCACCACAAGCAAGGTTTTCATGTCTTCTGAACAAGAATCGATATTAAACTTGGTTTCTTCCCTACTTTCCACTCTCCAACTCCACAAATTTATAAAATAGGAAAGCAAGAACACAATTTTCATTTTTATTTTGGAGGTATATAAAGCTTATGATCAAAATGCATCTTCATGAACGTGTTCCAGTGTATTGGGCTTGTTGGTCTCAGAATCCTCTAATGTTCTGTACTTCTCAGATTTCGTGGGGATGGACACCATCAAGAAAACTAGCAAAAATTAAATTCCCAGTTCCTACCCAGAGAATCCAGGGGGTCTGTGTTTTTAATGAGCATTCCTGACCTATAAAATCTTTTCTTCTTATTTTATGTCATCTAAAAACAATTTTTCTGTCTATATCACAGTGGTGACACATATTTTCAGTAGGATATGGCTAAGGGCAGAGCTTTGAACCATGTTATAAAACTCTCCCCAGGGCTGACAGTGACTTTGAACTAGCTCCCTTTGGTTTCCATTCTTCAGTCACTCGACACCTACATTGTCATTTTTGTAAATCTCTGAACAGTTCTGTCATAGTCACAATGAACAAACTTATTAACTTGTTTATTTTTTATATTGTTTCTGATAGGAGAGTATTTTATATTATCACTTACCTCAGTCATCTGGGGATGCACTTGACTGACTTCACAGGAAGGTTTTTCTGTTCATCACCAACAGAAAGGGAGTGTGTGAAGGAGAGTTGAAAGAACCCCACAGTAGTGTTTTAGGGAATGAAGCCCAGAGCCAAATGCCATGATGGTGTAGGGTTTTCCTAAGAACTGGCAGCTAACTGGTCAGCCAAGAGCGAGAACGTGTTCACAGTACTAGCAGTGGGAGAAAACTCAGCATTATTGCCAGAGTATTTTATATTGTATTTGTGTGTCTAGATTTCTCTCAAGACTAATAACTATGACTTCATTAAGCAGACAATGGGTTTTTAACAAATGTATTAAATGTCTAAATCTGAATAATGTACTTTAAAGTAGTCACCTTGAAAAATCACAGAAAAAAATTATTCTTTGGGGCTAAGCCTTTAGACCCAGTTCATGGGTCAGTAGGCACCCAGGTTATGGCTTTATAGGCACCTTCATTCACTAAGGAGAGGAAGAGAGCACACAGTGTATAAAAATACCAATTTCGTCCCCTTCCTCACAGCGTGGATGGAATTGGGCCATAGGTGAGATGACAAGATACTCAATTACATAGTTTAAGACCCTAAGCCTGTTATAGAATTTGCCATTCCTAGGACCCTCTCATTTACTCTTTAAGAGGTGCGTGTGCAACTTTAATAAATATGCATCTGGGCCTTTCCCACTTTTGCCATTCATGGCAATCACTCCATTCTGAAATGAAGCTCAGGACTGGACCTAGTCACACAGTGAAACCTGCCATCTTCCAGACCCTTCCTCCCTGTCCTTTCCTCTTAACCTCCCAGCAGTTTCAGTTCATCCATGCTTCTTTATGCTGTGTCCATCCAACTGAATGTCCAAAACTGAACTTACATATTTTCCCTTTATCATAATATTCCCCTGGGAACTTCTAACGCTCTACAAGGCAGAGGGCCTATGCTAAAGGATGAATCTCCAGCTTGCCATTCAGCTCTTGACATGGAGAATCTAGCAGGGATTTTCACTGGATGGTGAACCTTCCCAGGACCTCTCAAACCACATTCTGAAGTGGGCACCTGCTTTGCCTACTAACAGTAATGATCCTAGCACTTGATGCTGTAAGCGAAAGGCTTCCCCAGCTGATAATACAAGTCTCAGTGAGACTTTGGAGAGGCTCCAGCCCCGTCCAGTAGAACTCTCGGTGACAATGGCTTTCCCATTGTCCATACGGCCCAATAACAGTAGTCACTGGCTCTTGAGTGCTTCAAGTGTGGCCAGTGAGAATGAAAGACTAATTTTTATTCTATTACATTTTAATTATTTTTAAAATAGTCATATATGCCCAGTAGCTACTATATTGAACACCATACAGCTAGTTAATAATGTTGATTCTAACTTTAAATCCTTATTAAACCCATTTTTCAAGCCAGAGTAGTCATAGAGACAGATTTGGGGATTAAATTTATTGTAAGAATCCTGTTCTAAGGCTTTGATCCCTTGCTGGATTCTGGAAGCCAGAATTTGATGTATTATAAAGTTGCAATCTAAAGTTGGAGGGGTCAACTTTATTGGAGTCTACTAATTCCTTTGTGAAACGGAGAGCCTTTTCACTCCTTATGTTGAGCTGCCATGTATCTAGAATGCCTTCCCTCAGTGTGTACATTTTAAATGCTTACCATGGTCTAAATGTTTGAAAGGGCTCAAATGATTGATAAAACAGGGTCACTGGCCTTGAGAGCTTCTAAACTACAGGGGGAAAAGTGTGAATACTTTGGAAGCAATTAGAATGAGACATGAAGCAGTAAGAGAGAGACCAAGCAAAATGCTCAACTTAGTTTTAGTGGTCATGAACCCCATAGGAATTGCTGGTTGGAAGAGACTACAGTAATCTGGCTTGGGTAGTTTATAAACTTAGTAGAAGAGGCGGGACTATAGTTAGTTTTTGAAAGATGGTTTTGATTTGGGCAAATAAAAAAGAAGAGGCATGTTGGAGAGCATTTCAAAAGCAGATTAAATATTTTAAGTTGGGCGATTTGACCAGAGACTTCAGAAACCAATCAGAGTTCTGTGGACTTTGTATGGTAGACTCCAAAAAAATTATTGGCTGTTTTAACTCAAGGCAAAAGCATTAGGAAAGTAGTGTTATGGGAAAAACATTTCTGGCACTTCCCCGGATGGATAACAGGGGTTGGAAACTGCAGATGCGGAAAGTCTGAGGCGCCCATGTCACAACCAGGCGCGGGGTGTTGCGGAGGCACAGAGTGGTGACAGTGAGAAGGAAAGATGGGGTGCTAAGCTGTTTTCACATCATCCCCAACTATAAATGGATCCAAAGATGAACAACCCTTCATGTCATCGTATTTTACACTTAAAAAGCACTAAGGGATTATTTGCTTTGTAAGGAAGTTTAGGACTATAAAATATTCTCTTCACACTTCTTTGTAAAAACTGGCTTAAAACTCTTCCCTTCGCAACTTATTCGTTCCTAATGTAATCACAAACTTTAACAGCCAACTATTGACTGGTTTGCCAATTGCTGAAATATATGGGTGGCGCACAATTGAGGTCATCAGTGTTCATACAGACAAGGAAATAATGGCTGCTGGAATCAGGAGGTAAATGCCACCCACCTAGAAGGTACAGCACTCCTCGTGCCATCTTTTTTCAAGGTCACCCACAATATGGGGACAAACCAAGTAGAGCTAACACTTGTAGATTTTACGTAATGAACTTGCTGTAAGTTTTAAAATCCTGTGAGTACATGCCACTCTAGCAAGATATATATATCGGATCAACTTCTCTATCCAAAAGCTCTTCAATGTTATTAAAACTGAGCTTTTTGCTGTTAGTATGGTGCTTTCATCTTTGTGTTAATATTTTCACTTGATGGAATTTTAGACTTTGAAGGGATCAAAATGGTGAAACTATTTTAGTTCTCATTTAGCTATTACAAGTACTCTAGAGGTTACTGTAATATTTAGTATATATGCATCATTATATGTTATATATTATTTTTAGAATATAAATTATATACAAATATAATCAACATTTATAAATATGAATATAAACTTATAAATATATAAATTTTATATGTATATATTTATAAAATTTATTTTATAAATATATAAATTTATATTTTATAGATAAAATATAAACTCAGAAAATATTATCTTTTCTGAGATTTTATTTTAAAGAGAATTTCTTGTGTCCTATCCTCAGCGACAATATAAGTGATACAATGTCACTGATTTTAAGCATTTCCTACTATCGTCTAGTATATTAAATATATATAAAAATGTATTCCACGTGAGAAACCCAGATCTGAATAAGTATCGTTAGTCTAGTTTCACAAATGGAAAATGGGGGATCAGAGTGGTTAAGAGACTTGCTCAGTGGCTCAGGCAGTAAACACCCCAACTTCCTTGTTTGAAAAATAAAGATAATAATAGTCCTTACCTCATGGGGTTAAATGGATAAGAATTGCTTAGACACATAGACCAAATGGTTGGCGCATAAGAAGTATTATATAAGTTTGTTAAATAAAATATGAAAGGCAAGCTTGTACGACTTTTTTGAACAAGTTAAAATGCATGAGAGAGGAGATTTTCCAAAAGAGTTATTTATACTTTAATCCTCAATCTTCTTTAGCCCTGTCTCAAAAAAAAAAAGATAGCAATGAGCCTGCTATTAACCAAAGCAAAGAAGTCTCTACTTTTTACCAAGTTAACTAAGGTGGGGGAATGCTGGTGGGCGTGGGGATACAGGGCAGAGGGGAATAAAGGGGAGAAAAAATGGAACAACCATAATAGCATAATCAATGAAATATATTTAAAAAATAAATAAATAAATGAAATGGACATCTTTGGGCTGGATGACATCAATTCAAATCCTGACACTGCCACTTCCCAGCTGTGTGCATTCAACAACTTACATAACCTTCCTGTGTCTCTTTTCTTATCAATAAAATTGGTATAATAAGGTATTTAATCCCATAGTGTTGTGAGC